GGTTATTCAACTATGGGTTTTTTTGTACTATGGGTTATGTAATGGGCTAGGCCCAGTAAACTAAAGCCTAAATGGCTTGTACTCTTTTTATTTCTCATGCCTTAATATATGAAAGCCAAAGTTTCAAAAAAAAAAATTTAGTGTAACACTATTCACCACACCAAATATTTAATATGTATATTTTATTGTGTTTTCATTTAATACTATAATTCAATTTTTATTATTAATTAGTTCAAATTAATATTTACATATATACTGTCTTATTAGTATTTTTAAATTATTTTTACATAGTATTTTTTTTGTAAATTTACTTTCTAATAAAAATCAATAATTGGTTATTATCATTTTATTTATATGTTTAAAAATAAAATATTAAAGAACTTTTATATTTTTATTTATTTTCAAGTAAAAATCACTAAAGAATTATTATCATATATTTTATATTATTAGATATTTGTATTTAAAATATCAATTATAATCTCTATTTAAGTCATATTTAATCAGTAAAGAACAATTCATAATATTATATTATTGTAAATTTAGATTTAATTGTAAATAATTAAACTTATGTAATACTATCAAATTCATCAAACATTAAAATAACATTTTTTTGTTTTTAAATTTTTTAATATATTTAAATTTGTTATACTATCTAATAAAAATATTGAAATACATATATTATTCTGTTATGTGATTTCATAATTAATAATTTGGAATTTTTATTATAATACAATATTATATATAAAATAAATACAAAAAATGTATAGTATGTTAATAATATTATATATAAAATAAATACAGAAACGTATAGTATGTTAAACCAAAAATAAATGTATAAATTTTATGTTAATAAAATTTAAAAAATTTAAAATTTAAAATTTTAAAATTATATCCAAGTATGATAAACAAATTATTTATAAATTATAGATAATAAGAATATAAAAAAGATTATTAAAACTAAAAATTTGATATATAATATTACTTTTGGTGTAATATTTGGTGTCATGGTTGAAGATGGTCAAAAAAATTTTACACCAAAACATCAAATTTGGTGTAATTTTAATATCAAATTTGGTGTCATGGTTGGAGATGCCCCAGGAAAGCAAAATCACACATATGGATGATGTATTGTATAGTGTGATGTGAGATATTTATTATCATAAATGTTTTTGTATATTATTTTATTTCTAAATTTGGGTAAATTATTTAATATAAGTTTTATTTTAATCTCTTTTAAATTGTATTGATCAGAAAATATTTTTATTTAAGTAAAATTTATAAGTTTCTAATGAATGAAATTGATAATATTATTATTTTATAAAAGTTATAGTTTGCTAAGAAGAAAAACATTTGAGAGCTAGATCTTCATCTAAAGGGGTCTTAATGGATAAAGTGTCTGAGAGGATTTCATTTTTTCTCTCTTAAATTTCCTCTTATGTCTTGCATTTATAATTTCTATATTAAATCCAAGCTTACTGGATTAGTTTTTTTTTGTATAATTTTTTCTCAAATTTCAGCTTATTGGAAAATATGGATTTTGTCAATAAAATTCATAAAATTAGATTTGGTGGGGTTTGAGTTATATTTAAAATTGAAAAATCAGTGAATCGAATACCACATTTTATGATGGTATTGGAAAAAATTTCAAAAATAAATTTTTTCTTTTCACATTTTTAAAAAGAAAATCAAACAGTTTGAAATGAAATAAAATCAAACTTTTTAAATTAAAAAAAAAATTATTTAAATAAAATTTAAATCAGTTTTAATATATTTTATATAGTTCATAACACGATAACAATAACAAATTATAGTAATTTTTTTTGAAAAAAATAAATATATTTTCTTAAAACTCTGAAATTTCTTCAAAACCCCATAAAAATTTTAACAAATCGTTTTAAGATTTATTCAAATCTTGGATTTTCTTGGAATTAATCAAATATTTAATTCTCTTAAATTTTTGATTCAAAACCCCCCTACTTTATTAAAATATAGTCATTAAATGAAGCAACAATGTTACTTGGTCGTCTTCTTCTTTGTCCTTTTAGCTTTCTCTTGGTAAAGCTTTTTCTTTACATTAAAACCCTAAGTCTCTAACTAATCAAAATTTGATTTATACATGTATATATATATGTAATATTTGTTATATTTTGTTGGTATATAGTTTGTGAATCTGAGTGAAGGAAGAATAGGAGGAGTTGCAGAAAAATATTGGAAGAAGATGATGATGGATGAGCATTACTTGAACCAATCAAAGATCTTCTCAACAATCCATTTAGGATACAAAAAGAGAGGTTCGTCAAAGATTTCAACACCAAGTCTATCGTCATCATTTACCAATATTCTAATGTATAATCAATTAAAGTCATAGTAGACCTTGATCCGTGCGACCGCACGGGTATTAATTTTATTTTTTAAATTTTTATATTAGATGAAATTTTTGTAAAAAATAATTATATTACATTAAGTTTTTTTTTTGTGTGTGTTAAAAATTTGTATCAAAAATATTGGGTATCATACAAACAAATCTAACATGTACAATATATTGAAAATATTTTTCAGTTAAAGATACATCAAATCTTGAGAAGTAAGAGTTAATATGGTATACAAAAAAATGATAAATTAGTTATAACATTTCTAAGAAAAAGCCTGATGTTCAAATTATATAAATTTTTTAATATATAAAACATTTGGATTGAAAATTTTAAAATAAAAAATGAAGTATCAATTAAATGGTTACAAATTACTTATGAGTTTAATTTTGACAGAAGAATACCGAAAATTTTGTTGTTTGATCTGTACAAGTGTTTGTTTTTATATATTTTATAAGTGATAATATATATTTCTAAATTTACACGTTTAAATAATGGTTTAAAACGATATTTTAAACACATAATCTTATAGTTTATATTAAGTAATTTTACTTTATCTTATAAACTATCATTGTGTCATACTTATTTTAAAATATGACCCGTATATCTGCAAAAATGTTTTTTATTTTTATTTATATTGATAAAAATTTTATGATAATGTATAACTAAATTGTTGTATCTACTATTTAAAATATATGGTCCTATATATTTCTTCTTTTTTAACTTTTATTATTCAGAATTTACCTTGAATTATTATTTATATAAAAATATACATAACATAATATGTTTATATTAATCTATGTATTATATATTATATAAATGTTTCTTTTTGTGACTTTTATTTTAGTTATTACTTATAAATAATGAAAATATAATTTTATATCTTTGAAAACAATATTGTTCATTAAATATTTAAAGATATGTAGATAATTAATAAGAAAAAAAATCGTAAAAGGTATGTTAATTAATATTGGAATTAATTATTACGTATATGGAATTAGTAAAACAATTTCTATAGAATTTATTTATTTAATTACGAAAGATATATATGAAAATAATTATTTTCATTAATTATTGTTGCCATAATTTTTTTTAGTTAAAATTTGATTTTGGAAATGCATTAATTAAAGTGAAAAGACAAAGAATCGTATAAGGTAGGGTAATTAATAACTTCAGTGGCATGCTATTGTAAATAAAAGTGAAAACTAATAGGTATTTTATATGGGTACTTCTCTTTTAATAATATAGATAATATAGCTCTCTGTCTATGTATGCATAAGTGAGTATTAATTAAGCAAATGACACATGCCTGTGTTTGTTGGGATTGTTAAAGTCCATGTCCAACATTTTATTGTACGATATTGTCACTTTGAATCTAAGAAGCAAACTCGCATGAATTTACTTCTGGTTTCCTTCCCAAAAATTCTCCTACTAATTAGAATTGAACATTTTTTTTGTTATATATTAGACAATTCTTATCTATATTTTTAGTGTGGAATTTTGTTTGACGTCTCATATTCTCTCCTTTAAACTAAGAACCACATTCATTTTGTGTCCCAACTGAACATGATTTCTGCCACATAACCCCATTCATATCTTAAAAGGTATTTTTTGTTCTTGTAGATTTCTCATCATTTTGCTCTGATACCAATTGTTGGGATTGTTAAAGCATATATTTAAAATTTATTGTCCGATTAATATGATATTATCCACTTTAGTCATAAAAGGTAAATCTACATGAATTTACTTTTAGTTTTCTTCTAAAATGTCGTGTACTAATTAGAGCTGAACATCTTTTTATATATTAGACTCTGATTATTTGAATTTCCAATTTAGGATTTTGTTTGATATCTCACTGAGTTGTTGTAGGCTTATACAGTTATACTTGCTATATTTTCATGGTGAAGAAATGTTAAGCCTAGGTTGCACGTTGTTTGTTTGATATATTAAAATCAATCTATCGTGTTTTTCTCCTTGTCCTATATTTTGTGCAGTTTATTTAATTAATGTTCTTCTAGCACTGAAGTTTATTTAATTATATTTAATCTGAAAAAACATCTCAAGGGATTTTTTTTCCTTTTCTTGAAACTTAAAAACTATGTTCAGTTTAAAATTTGCAAAAATTTTGTATCAAAATAACAAATCTTCTATTACTGATTTTAAAGAACATTTAAAGTATAGTGTTTTTCCTACAATCTCACCATTAGTGATATCGTGTCAAGAGACACAAATCAGTTAAAATAAGCATCCTTATTGTTACATGGTAAGAAAAAAAACAATTGTGTATTTCAAAAACCATAAATGTTTAAAAACGTCGGAATCACCAACTGTAAGTATTGTTCAAAAGAAAAAAAATGTTGAATGTAGAAAAAAAAGTGACATCAGCAATATATGGCCACAAACATTGACCAGTCCAATTCAGTTTTCCCTTTTAATTTATAGTAATTTACCTAACAACAAATTCACAATATGGTAAAAATCCTCAAGATAAACTGGTGGTGGTGTGAGAGCAGAGGTAAAATAGTTCTTCTTAGCACTCACATCATGTTGATCTCTGTGGATTGTTGGTTCCCACATCGTATCCGCTAAGTACCTAAAGATCAAGAATCAAAAACAACTGTACCACAAGTTTTAAGGCATGTTCTCTGGTCCGCAAAAAAGAAGCTGCATAAAATCTAAAAACCTACATTTCTTCCTATTCGCCACTCTTTTTGCATCCTTGGTGATACAAAGGAATGTGTCTTCTACATTGGTGCCTTCTTTGACAGAGGTTTCATAGTATGAAATGTTTCCTTTTGATGCACACCAAGCTCGAGCTTTCTTCTCTGAGACCACCCGACTGTTTCCACCATCCACATTGATTTCATTACCGATTACAACAAAGGGAAAGTTGTCTGGATCCGACGGAGTTGCCTGCAAATCACAATAACAAGGCTTGAATTATAGACACCGGAGAATGTGTGAAAATAGCATGAATCACTTCTTAGTAACCCATACCTGGATCAGAAACTCTTCCCTATAATTATTGAGATCCTCAAATTATTTAGAGGAATTGACATCATAGACAAGCACACAGCAATCATCACCGCGATAAAGAGAGCAGTACATAGAGTACTTGGGATCATTTCTTTATCTAAGACCAGGAGACTATGTTACCAAGTGTTAGAGAATATCTTATTGCAGAACCCTGTGTCTATTCATGCATGCCAAAAGAAAACCCTTTGTAAATCACATTAGGAACTACTATAAAAGTGTTTTTAAATTGGAATAAATGTACAACTATCCCACATAACTAAAGTTTTCATCGGTAAAAGCAGAAATTATCAGCCAGAAGCTGATAAACTGAACAAATTTTGTTTCTAATTTTACCTGTCACATGAGAGTGATACATACATTTTTTTTTTTTTTTTTTTTTTTTGAACAACGAGAGTGATACATACATATACACAGAGAAAGAAAGAAAGAAAGAAAACAGACCTGCTATCACCAAGGATGATGACCTTGAGGAGAGTTCTTCTACGGGTAGTCATCCTTCTCATCAAAACACTTACTCAACGCATCAAACGGGATCTCCCTGATTTTTCTTTTTAATTGAAAAACTTTAACTCGGTGATTTGCTGGCCTGTCACTGATAAAATAAATAAAAATAACAACAATACTTTTTTTTTGAAAATCAAATAACAACAATAAAAAATACAAAAATGTTGTCGTTTCTAATTATCCAGTTCTTAGAGAAACATCATCTATAGTAACTTCTCTTCTTCTTCCTTTTTTTCTCTCAAAAGTTCATTTACATTGCTTAAAAAATATTACAAAACCATTGTACAACTGTTTAAATAACTGTGATGTTGATGATGGATAGTTTTTACTATGGTTTATGTTGAATCAGTTATACCGAATTGGCTTTCAGATTTAGAATCCTCTTAGAACTAGTATAATTTTTTTGTTAGAAAAAAAAATCACGATAGAAAATTATTTGAAATACCTAATTTAGCTAACAAGTTTAATGATTTTTTTGTTTTTTTCTAGAGTATAGTTGATAAGTATCGAGTTGAAAAAAATGATAAGTAAAATATTTCTTTATTCTGTTTTTTTTTGTAACGTAAATTATTTTGCTGATTTCAATTAATTGATTTTTCTTTGTTTTGTTTTTTTTTTTTGGTGGGCTTTCTTTGTTTTGTTTACTCTACATATTTAACACAACAAAAACTGAAATGAGAATAAATGATTTATCCACTCAAAGTGTATTTTTATTTGTGATATCCAGTCACACTCCTATCCTAGTACGATATACCTAAATAAATAATATAAGTTTTTTGGTTTGAGACATAGATATCCTAATGAATGTTTCAATGCAAACATTTATTATTTTTTCGGTTATGGCATCTACTATTAACAATTCACAATCTGTTTTAAAGTGATTTAAGGGGTGATTAGTTGGGATGTAACTAATGACTTGCTTTCATTAGCATCTACAACCATAAAAGTTACCAATCATATTTTATCTAGTTTTTAAAGCTAAATGCAAAAAAATCTAAAAATGGCTGTAATACCATCCCCTATATATTAATTGAGAATCATTTAAAAAGTTGTAACCTTAAGTTTGTAAGAACTAAAAATAACCCCAATCCTATGCGGCATAGTTCTTTGGCTTCTATTTCAAATCCTAAGAATTCTAGAGTATGTGATATAATGTATAGTCTAAAAATTATACTCTCTAGCAATATAATATTTCGTAGGCTATAGTTGGTCGTATATATCAAATATTTATTGTTTCGCATGCTTTTCTTAAATAAAACCTACGGAAATACCTATTGTGATTAAATATATATATGACAATTAATGATTTTAAACAATAAAGATTTGATAACAATCTGTATATTTTCATGTTGTGGATATCAAGCTGAACTGGAATTCTTCACTCTTACTTGGAAGAGCTTTCATGGCCACAGTAGGAGCAGTTTGTGACATGAATACTAATAGGTTTTGCCTTACTTTAGTCGATCCAAATACTTTTTATGATCATGTTCGTGTTGTTATGCAACAGGTACACTTATTAGAGACTGGAGATGCTGAATTCATCGCTACATGCGATTGTGAAGCAAAGTATGAAACCGAGTACTGATTCCCTCAACCAGACGGCGACCGATGTACATCAAGAAACATCGATCGACCGACAGTCCACGCATGGATGCCTACCCGATTTTTTCTTTCAAGCCATCAGCACCAAGCCTGATGACTACTCCTTAGGCAGTTGGGCAGACAATAGTTTCCATGAGAGTTTTGCAATAGACATTGCAATCATATCAGATTCAGAGGATCACAAAGGGGAGCTTGATGAGGACTATGAGAGGAGTATGCTAGAAAGATCCATGCCGTTCTTACAGATGATAGACTTCTACTGCCCATCAACAAGACGAAGCTCACGAAATCGATCGACGTGGACATACCAGAATCGATCGATACTCAACCTCATCAGGCACACTGACATCAACAATCGATCAATACGCACACGCGCACATCGATCGATTCTGAGGCCACCGACTTCAGGAAATCTGGAAATTTTCCAATTCTTCCTAGGGCACTTGAGGGTATAAAAGAGGTCTTGCAACCAAGAAGACGTCTCATACCATAAAATCAGAGAAGATGTAAGCACCTACAACCTTTGGGAGACGAAGTAAAAGAGGAACCAACTACAAAGATCTTCATGGCAAAGCAACAAGTGCAACATTCAACCAGCCAAAGATCACCACCTCTCGTCTACCATCGATCGACGCTGCACCTAGCACATCGATCGATTCTCACCCTCAATCTTTTTCTTTAACTAGATATTATTATATTGATGATTTTCTAAAACCATATGAGTTTGGTGTTATGAGGGATCCAGAAAGTCATGCACGAGCTATAGATGAGAGGATTCTACATGTTTCCAAAGAAGACACAACAGAAATCTTTCAGATGGCCAATGGACAAGAAAATCTCTTTCAGCAAAAACTGGTGTGATGCAGCAACCGTCGACCGACACAGTCAAAGCATCATTGATCAACAAGGACCCTCGTCCATCGATCAATAAAAAGAGACGTGTAACGATCGACAACAGTAAAACTTATAGACCGGATTTAGAGCCAGAGCTCTATACCAAAGACGAAATCAACGAGATGATTGGTTGCATGAGTGATTTCCAGGACAAAGCTGTGGGTAGGCTCAACAACAATCTGGATACAGTCTATGTGATTCTGCAAGGAAGCATCAGTGGATTTACTATGCGCATGAAAGAGATGGAAGCCGAACTCGCTATTATGAAGACACAACGTGCAACATCGATCGATACAATTAAGGATGCATCGATTGATGCGAATGAACCAGTTAAAGAAGGGATGTTGACATGATAGATAACTAAATGGGATGAGGCATATCTCGATGCAAGGATTGACGAAATCCACCACCCTCTCAACAACAACATCAACTGGTTAAGCACGAGGATTGAGTTGATACAGTAGGACTAGGATATGTTCCGCGAAGAGAAGCGTCAACATGAGAAAAGCAAATCGATGGATGCCAAGTTCTTGAACATCGAGAAACGGATGAAGATCTGTGAAGATGAGCACGATCACTACACATCCCCGTTTATGCGGTACTTACACACTTTGGACGGCCGGATGACTGCTTTGCCACAAGAAGTCACCGCTATTCAGATGCAACTAGATTTCCACCTACCATCCTCATCATCGATCGACAGACGCAGATGTAAATCGATCGACATGAAGAAGCTACTAGCGCATAAATTCTATACCAGAGCAGAAGTTGACAAGATCATTGATAAAATCTACAAGGCTCTGAAACTACTGAGGAAGGCTTGACAAGAGATGTGATGACATATTCTTCCCCTTCAACAACATTATCAGTGGATTACACTCAGGAACATAGTGGCTGCAGAAGGAAGCTAATACAATTCAGACAAGACTCGTTTGTCGTCCTGAAACTGCAGCATCGAACGACAACACCAAGGTCAAATCGATCGATGGACCTACACTAGAAATGATCGACACCGCAGCAGTCGCAGCGATCGATACCGAGTCCGTACCAAACCAGGAAAAGCTGTTACAAGAAGAGCCAGTCAGAATCAATCAACAAGACATTAGAAGAACTGACAATACATGTTTATGATAAGGTTCAATGGGACATCATCAACATTGAGAGTCTTAATGAGAGATTTCAGAACATCTTAGACACAATTAAAATATGGATGAAAGGTGGGCCAGAAGGGATGAAGCCACAAGAAGTTTCATGGCTACTTGGTTCAGCATCAGCAGAGAAGATGTGGATACTTGTTTTCCAACAAGTAGCTGTTTTTCCACACAATAGCTCACCATACCTCAACAGTCAAGCTAAATGACTATAACAAAGAGCTGAGTGGGAGGCAACCCAATATGAGGTAATTTTTCTTTTACTTTATTGATTCTTTTTTCGTTTTTCATACTTGCAGGTTTTTATAAGAAAAAAATAGATCCAAGGAGAAACAAATGACCATCTCATCGACCGATGAGACACAGTCGATATCAATCGACAGACGATCACCTACAACGATCGACACACTCTCTTACACATCAATCGATTCTTAATCCGGCCAAGTTTATCATTCTTCCTTGTTACATTAAGTACTTTTGTTTCAATTTTATTTCACCATAACTTTGACTGTTTTACACTGGGGACAGTGTAATTTAAGTCTGGGGGGAGGTGTACTGATATTTTATTTGCTATGAGTCTTATGAAAAATTGTTTTCAAAACTATATTTACTAAGCTCAAGAAAAAGGATGATGATCTTATTCTAATTATACTTGTCATCTAACCACTTTTTAGCACCATTCTAGATCTAATGATTACATATAGTACTAAAGATGTTAAAGTGGATCAACCAATCAGCTATACACACTTGCTTAGATTGTTTGACGGAACCAAAGCTGACCTCCCAACACTAAACCTGACACAACAACTTGTCTTGGGGCTTGGTATACATGGGATCGGATTCTTCAGACGAGTCTGGAAGGTAGAGTCTTGTGTAGATTTATCACATTTTCTCTCTCTATTTTCGACCCTAGATAGTTAAGTAGATTTATAGTTATTTAAAAAAAAAAATCTCAAAATAGTACTAAGTTTATTAGGTTTTTAGTTAGAAAAAATCAGAACATGATTTGGTGGCTACAACCTTAAGGCTTGATTCATAATGATTCCAATAAAAGAATTCGAATGGGACATGGTGCTGCAACCATTAAGGCTCACTTCATATGAATTCTTGGATATAGGTAAAAAAGAAGTGATCAAGACTTGGTGACAACCACCATTAAGGCTTGTTTCATGGAAGGCTATCCAATCTAGGTCAATAATCATGCCTTAAAAGCAGATTTTGACTCAAGAGAGAAATTAGAAGAGAGAAAAGATAGGAACTAACATTTACCTGCAGATCCAAATACTTGTTTGAAATTCTTTGCATCCTGTGATCGATACTCCCAAGGTAAAGCCTGCACTTTT